TTGCAATTGCAACGGATATTCTCCTGCTGTCAAATTACTGTAAGTAAAAAAGAATTAAAAAACAATAGACTTGTAATATAAATGGAAAAAGTACGATAGCAATGTGTTCTAACCTTGACAATACGAACTTAAAGGTGCATTATGAATAAATTATTTTACACATCACAACTAATAAATTTTGAATTAAAATATTGAAATAAATAAAACACAGGTGACAAATAAACAATTTTGCAGATTTGCGATTGTAAGGTGTGCCATATAAAAAAATGAAATTTTTTAGCAAATTCTCTTTTCCAGAAATGAATTATTGCTTGCCTAATTTTAGAGCCACCAATTTGAAGATATAGGCTTTCAAAACCCAAAATAGAACAAATGTCTTGAACAGTTGTTTGAAGTGTGACTGGATAAATCAGAGATCGTGATCCGGTTGGTGCATAAAGCCGGATAAAGCCATGTTCTGCACCGGATTCTATCCATTCTCGCTTGCGATTACTTGTCAGACGCTCAAATTTTGTTGACTTTCGCTGTAATTGGATGATTTTTGTATGTTTGGCATAAAACTAAACTTCTTACAAACAATATATTAAGAGTCCACGTATAATAATATCACTTACATATAAAGTGTTCAATGCAGCATCAAATTAAGAAATTTTCCAAAATTTGTCAATAGTTTAATTTAATAGCAGTGACCCTTTTTCCAGTATTATTTTTAGCTTCTATATAATATATTCCGACATCTTCTCCAAAAATTTCTTATCATCAGAATCTCACGATTCGATACATTGTAATAATGTTAGTTCAAATCAATTCTTTCTGTCAAACCGAATCCGTTTCAAAAAAAATTCTAATTCTAGTCGATGAATTCAATTTTAAGTAATACTGAAAAAGTCTTTCATTCAGATTGAGAAGCAATGGAGAAGCAATGAATACGAAAAGATTAGGAAAAGCATTCTTTCCGGAAAACTTCTGCAAAATTTCAAAAAAAGGAAACGAACTATTTTTGATAATGTTGCATATTTCGGCATGTCACCACCATCTGATGCCTTCTTTCGATAATTAATAGTTGCATAAGCATTTTCAATGTTGATACTTTTAGATGGAACTTCTGAAGCAGTTTTCAGTGACATCGTACATCAGGTACTACAATATATCCTCAGTTTCATTAAGATACTAAAATAAAATGATGAAAATTTCAAGTTTAAACTCAGGCAACAAAAAAAAAAAACAAGAAAACGATGCCAAAACAAATGCATGCTAAATTTCAATAAGTCATTTTTTTAATTGCATTACTCATCTAAATAATTGAAATCATTCTTGAGCATTAGTTTTAAAGATATTCAATGCCATAAAAATATATTTTTAAATTTTAATTTCAATGAACAAAGGCAATATTGTAGGATTATATTAAAGTGATATCATAATTGACTTAGGAATGGATAATACTTGGAGTGGCAATTACTGCACGATAGTACCGAAAGGTCGGAACAATGTAAAAGTAATAAAAGGATGGAGAGGGAGTATTGGAAGAGTGCATCGATGAGTGGATGAAGTTGAAGTGAAAAAGAAAGATTGCAGAAACTTCCTGTAATTATTATTCGATAATAATGGTAGTGATGGTTGCGTTGATTGCTGATGATATTCAGCAAATAATTACGATCATTGAAAACCTGATCTGATTTAGTGGATATCTCATCATAATTTAGGTGCTGCAACGGTTTAATGAATTAAGCAACAGCAAGTACAATTAATTCATTAAAATTTTCAGTAAGATATGACAAGAAACATTCAAATACACCGAAGAATCTAATGATTTATCAAAAATGAGACGGTCAGAATTATTAAAATTGAAAGTTTGACTAATAGATAAATTAAGTGAAATAAATCCATAAGTACCATTTTATATTCATGTGGCTCTCAATAAAATAGCATAATTACTTATTTCATGTTTTCTTACTTGCTTCATGAGCACAATTTTTAAGGGGGTGAAATATTTTGCAAATCTAATATATATTTAAATAAAATGTGTCACTTAATATTTTATACAATTTAAAATTCAATATTCCAAAAGTAGCAACAGTTTTGTTGTTACTGTTTGATTTCCCGCATTTCAGTATTTCTAGATCGCTATGATGACAATAGTATTACCTTTAATTGGATAATTATCATTGATTTCATAGTAGAAGCGCTAATTATAATTGTATGAATTCAATTCGTCATGCTTTCCTTTTAAATCAAATTGCATCTCCTACCTCTCCTCATACAGTTCATATCATTTGAATTAATTGTATAGGAAAGAATAAGTCGTCATACATTCAAAAAATTCTCATTATATATTCATTCAAAATGTATTCTTTGAAAATCCAGAAAATAATATTACCATATATGTGCAAAACAAGTTTTCAAACTAATTAAAATTAAAATAAATTCTTCTCCAAATTATTACATTATTGAGTGTCTAATTTCATTTCATTTTTAATCAAATCAATATTGTATTCAATTTTATTAATCGAATCTTTCAATACTGTAAAAAAAGATTCCTAAAAATTATCAAATTATCTCTGGTAAAAGTAATAAATATAATGATAAAAGTTGCATAATTATACGATTTAGAAAAATAAATCAGAAATAGTGTTACTTATTTTTCGTGGCAGTTTATTAATAATTTATTGAAACTATCAATCTTATACGTAAACAATCTTCTTCAGATAGTAAACATTTTGTGCGGCTGGAAATTTATTACATAACTTTATCGGAATTTTCATGTACAGGGAGAGGATTACTTCATGTTTTTCGTATAATTTAATTTATCTGAAAGAACAAATATTACCATTTAGAAATTTTTCTCCAATAATTGCTTTTTTAGAAAATTGGTTGGTAAACAATTTTTTTTTATGTAGTCAATTTCAAGAAAGTTGGCAGGTCGTTTCGGTTTCTTCTTTATTTCCATTATGCATTTATGTGATAATGGAACTGAAAGAATAGGACGACCATGAAGAGATAAAATTTTCAACTTAAAAATTTCAAAAGTTTACTACATTTTTATGTGATACGATTGTTTAAACTGATTTTATTTCCGATTCCAGTAAAGTACCAATTCTTGTAAAAGATTTGCAAGTTTTAGCAAGAATTATTTATAAAAAGAAGCAAGCAGATGGAATAAATCATTGTTTATTTATATCGAATCATGTCAAATATGAGAGGAGGAAATGGCAGTACGTCACGTACCAGTCGGAACAATACGTAGGAGCGCTGAGAGTTCGTTTCTTGGATGACTACTCCATTTCAACTACTGACGCTCCAAAAATGAGCATGAAACGTATTCAATATACGTAATGTTAGAAAATTAGATTTTTTAGAATTAAAGGACATTTGCGTTTCTTAGTTGTTTTTTCAGCATTTTAAGTATCTCAGGAAATTATCTACTAAAGTACTGCTTCTTTCTTAAATTATTCTTAATAAAAATTTTTCTTGATATTTTTATCATATAGTTAATTAGATAAAATCTCTTTTTGCAAAAAAATATTCAAACATAAATGTTCTGCAATTCGAATATCTCAAAAAATTATTGCTCTCGTAGGTTAAAGTAACCTGTAAGACAACTTGCTGGCAATATTTTTCACATTAAAATATTAAATATTGGACGCGAAAAGATTTCATTATTAAATCATAAAAATTTTCCATCAAATTATAAAAAGCATAGAAATTATAAAATAAAATAATACATCAGATGTTGTTCTCATTCCATTTAACAATGATCATGCAGAACAGGTGATAAGAAATCACAACAATTACCAAGCACACCAACAACATCATTAAATAATGTTAAAATACAATCATCGAGCACCACAAACTGCCAAAATTACTGGTACTATCATGAAATCCGGCTATCTTGTCAGGAAAATTTGGCGTTTTTGTCATTTCACTAGCTATTTTATCCTCCTTGATAATGCCAAATTTTATTTTTATTAAAATGAAACAATTTCAAATGATCCGCAAAAGTATAAAGGATTCACCAATGTTAAGGTCTGCTAATATTGCCTTTCCCATACTTTTAGCAAAAAAAAATCCTTTTAGGAAATCTGTAAGAAGTGGAAATTTATTAAAAAAATTTATTCAGTCTTACCATTAAAAAAGATTGTACTTATAAAAATTAAAAAAAAAGTTCAACTTTAAAAGTATACTTTATGCATTTCAATCTAATAATTGTGATGCAAAGTGATGAAATTTCTCTCATTGATAAATTATTCCATTTAGAAAAGTTTAATTTTTCTGCAAATGCATATTTTAAGAATATTTATATAGTGCCGAAAAGTTTGAAAGAATTTGTGATTTATATTTAAAAAAAAAACATTTGGTATATAAAAGCGATAACAAGCAAAGATCGTGACGAATGGATAGAAAAACTCAAATCTACAAGGTTTTTTTCCTTTCAATTTTTGTGTACAATATTTATTTTAGCTTTTGCTTTAAAAGTATGAGAGAAATAATCAGTTGGGCTATGTGAAATATAATATCATAGACGAAATAATGGATTCTATGTAGATTATTTAGATCCTGATAGTAGGATTTCATATTGATGTTACTTTAGAGCATACTTTAGAAAGATGAGGATGAATTGAAACGAATTCTGCACACTCCATCAAATCAACAGGAAAAATTAAATATATCAAAAATAATCAATGATATAGACGAATCTCTTCAAATAACATATAAAGGTAAATAGCACATTTTTATAATATCCGAAAATATTCCGATCATGTTCTCGGATTAATAATTAGATCAGTTTGATATAACAATCGCTACGGAATGATCTCACGTTTCGAACTATAAAATATTAAGTCAATAAATTTTCTAATTCATTGACTTGATATTTCAATATAATTAAATTTAACTCACTTAAGTTTTTAACTCACTCAATTTTACTTGTTTACTTAGACTATAAATTGTGGAATTTAAATTAAAATTTATGTTTCGATTCTATATGATTTTTGAGGTTTAGTGTTGCAATTGAAACATACGCCGTTTGTTTTAAATATATTGACAGTTATTATTTTTCTTTATCGTTTGTTTTCTCAGAAATGATAATACTGTATTCTTATCGCTATTTTAAAGCAAATTAAAAAAACTTAATTTGCTTTAAAATAGCAATAAGAATACAGTAATATCATTTCTGAAATTAAATGATTTCCGACAATCACTTCCAGATGATAAACAATTGGATAAAACTCAAATAGTAGATCTTCATGATACGTTAGAAAAGATCATGGATTATATTCAAAATGGTTCGAAAGCAGTTCAAAGGTTCTTTATTTATAAAATTTTTCTTTAAAATACAACTTAACTGTTCTGAATTTCAAATTTTATAGATTTTTTTTCTTACCACAATATTAAATAACCACAACATTAAAATGGCTATCATTTGTTAAGGTAAGATATTATTATCAATTAAGTCTTGAATGAAAATAATGTTTTAATTATAGTAAAAGGAGATCGAAATGTTATGATGAACTACTTACTTGTTGTTTTCAATACTTCAAATATTTCTAAATAATTCTAATTTCACTCATCAATTAAATTATAATAAATGAATATATTAATGAAAATATTCTGACTTCATTTAAATTCCATAGAGCTTTTGGAATTTATAATAGAATAAATTTAGGGATATATTATAGCAAGGCAATATTCTTCCATTACAAAAGTTTATATAAACTAAAATTTTTGAATAAATTGATTGATACGAAGATTTCTAAATTTATGAAAAATTATATTTAATTTTTCATTTTCGATATTGCAAAATTATGCTAACTTTAAGAAGCTATAAGAAGAGCTAATAAAAATCTATTGGCATCAAGTTTTATTCTTTATCAGATGATTTATATTGCCATATTTGTTATTTCAACATTTTCCAATATACCGTTCGGGACATAAAAACCGTTCAATCCATTATGATGTGAAACATTTGAATTTAATCGAATGGCTGATTTTGGATGGCAATCGATTTCGGAACAGGTTTGAGTTCAGTCATTTTTTAAGTACTTCGCTATCATTATTCAAAAATTATCGAGATCAAAAGCAAAAAATTCAGTCCTTCCAGAGATGCATAGAAGTGTTTGTCATGAAGTTTAATTTTTTCTCGTCAATTTAACATAACTCCTTTCTTCTTTTGCGCTCCAATTTTATTACTCTGTGTTAGAAAATATTCAATGATAAATTACTTCAACAGTAATTTATTTAACGATAAATTATTTTAGCGACAGTTACTTTAACATTTACATATAGTTTAACTTTTTCAAAATTTAGCTTTGTATGTTCTAATATAATTTTAATAACGCCTCTTTTTTGATATTATCATTAAAAAATCTAATTTCGTCTACCAATAAATTGTTCAATTGTTTTATTTCCTCAGATGATTTTCACATAATCTTTTACAGTGGTCGAAGTAAATATTTTTCTGCATTTCTGAATTTTTTCTTTCTTCATTTTTTTTTGTTAATTTTTGGCAGAATTTACATAGCATGATATGGTTGTGTAATTCAAGAAATGAAATTTCCAGTATGATTTACCTTCCAAGAAAAAAATTTGGGCTCAAAATACCAGATTTAAAAATGTAGATAAGTCATCATCCTCCGATTAGTGCAATTCATGCCGAAGGAAACAGTTGGATATTGGATAAAGATATTGATGTACGTTCTCAATTTCAAGCAACAATTATGAAAATTTTCCCGGGAGGGTACAGCTAACATTTCTTTCCGATAAAAATTTACAAATGTTTTTTTCGAATCAATCAGAGATCTGTTAAATGAAATCGTTTCATTCTCGAATGGACGTCGTCATATCAACGATGACTGATTTTCACCATCTTCAAATTACTTCAGGAAACAAAATCATTTTATTATTGGACAATGAAAGATATTAAAACATTTGTCAAAGATTTTATTATTGGTTCAATAACAGTGCACAATGAAGGAAACAACATTATTATGGTAAATTTAACGCAAATATCACAAGTTTTTATGTTAATGCATTCAAAATATCATATTGCAATTCAATTTTTTTAGGAGCATTTGCATCGAATTAATTTACGGAAGCCTTGTTTAGCAACATTAATGAAGAAATTGAGAAAGCTGCTTACTTTGAAAATAATTGCTATTGCAGATTCAACCAGACGACATAAATTGCATATTTAATCTTACCCGACATAAATTTTTCTCATCTCATAACGAGCGTACTTTTTCCGGAAAAATATGCGATAAATTCGGAAAGGAATTATATGACTAAGTAACAAGAGTCATAAATGTATTATAATAAAAGGAAATGATAAATTTGAAGTAATCATTTGTTTCATTTTGTTGCTAATGTTTAAAAGGAACTAAGCGACAAAATTCCTGTTCAAATAACAGTTAAACTTTCGAGTGTTTAAATTAAACTTGAACATTAAAGCTTTCAGTGAAAGAGAATATACTGCTTATAATTTAGATATAATTAGTTTTGAATACGTCTCCCTTTATTCCTTTCCTCAAGTTTTATTTCCTAAATTATTCTTTTTTTTCTAAATTATATATATAATTAATTTTGCATACTTTTCCCTCTATTCCTTTAAGTTTTACTCCTTTTTTATTTTTTTCTGACATCATTGGTGTGCCCTTTTAAAACTTTTATGGTAATAAGCGTTGTCCGCTAATTGTGTTTTTTAGAAAGGTCAGGTTATCTGTACAAGAAATGTTCGGCTTAAAGAATCAGAATTAATATACAATTATACAACTTTAGAGGTTGAACTTAATGAACCGGAGGTTAGTTTTAAAGCGCAAAGTGAGAAAGAAGTTTAAAAATTTGACAAAAAAGGCTACAATTGAAATTTGACGAGCTAAAAAAAAGAAAACTGAATGCTTTGAGAAGTGAAAAGAATTTTGATAAAGCTTATAGGATTTTTCTTTTTGAAAAATACTTAATAACATCAAACAGACCATGAAATCTAAATAATAAACTTTAACTTGATTAGCAAAATCAAAAAGAAACCAAAGAAATAATAAAATTAAAAAGCAAGCATAAAATGGCATTATGAAATTTGTTAACTTCATTCAAAAAAAGAGTACCATTTCCGACTATTATCATTTATAAAATTTATTATGATACAGGTGACTTATATACTTAGGGAAACAAACTGGAAATACTTAAATTATTTTGGTGACACGATTACTGTTAAGTGGTTATTTATCTCAGATGATTTGTTTTTCCAATTATTTTAGGTTAAAATATTTTCACTATCTCCTTATCGATGAGTAATTTCCACCCATATTTCATTCAAAATATTTCTTTCAATAAAATTTAATAAAAATCCACTTCTGGGAGTTAATTTGTATTCATCGATCGCTATGCAATAGAAAATGTATTTTTTACAATAACGTTAATAGCTAAAATGAATTTCACTCATTTTTTCAAAAAAGGTTCGTTAAGGAAAATATACTTTTTTGTCACATTTCTGGAATATGTATGTTTAACTTTTGCACATTTTAAAAATTATAATTTTAAAATTGGAATTGCTATCGCATTTATTTCTTTGATCAAAAAAAATTTATTCATGCATAAATACACATATAATAAACACCTTAGGCACTTTTGACTAAAAAAAAAGAAGGAAATAATTTCAAAGCAATTTAATCTTTAGAAATTTTAATCAAAAATCTGACGTAATTCATAATTGCTAAGCAACAAAACAAATCTAGTCAAAAATTTCTATAACTAAATTGAAATTGAAATAATATTCATTACTGATATCATCCATTACTCAGATTATGCCACACTAACCAAATCAGCCACTATTTCACATTGAATCATTTACATTTTTCATCACCATACTACACCATATCACTTTTTCATCTTATCATAACTACACCTTTCAGCACGTGATTTACTTTCCTTCCTTATCATATCATTCATTGTTTAATTAAGAAATAGTTATCTGCATAGTGAAAAATGTAATCCATTCAGATTTCCAACAAAATGGTGCAAATAATTTGCATTTGCGAATTGGTGCTAACATTGAAATTCACCTGAATTACAATACGCAAAAAGCTAAATGTTAGATGAAATTTTGGAAAAAAAATTGGAAATGATTTGAATGGAAAACACATAACAGTACATGCATTGGGAATTAGTTTGTTGCAGATAAAAATATTCATTCAGTTTAATTATTTTCTTGCAATAAGTTTCCTATGCTAAGAAAGAAATACAGCTAATGATTCATTTTAGCAGAACGAAAGAAAAAAGTACAAATACTAAAATTCTTATGGAAAAAGGCAATACTTTAAAAACATTTTATCCTAATGAGACAGCCAGCTTATTTCCCCGGGAATTTCACATTTCCTTCTTTGAAAACAAAAAAGGAATAAAAGAAAACTTTCATCTTTCTAATTGGAATAGATTGATTGAGAAAATGTGTGAAAAAAGGCAATTGTTTAAAATGCAAAAAATTTCACTTGAAAATTGATAAAGACAACCACAGAAAAAAATCAAAAGCAAAATAAGAAAATCCCGTTATAAAGACAACAAAATTTTCAAGAAATGTAAGCGGTAAAGTGTTGCAAAAAGATAAAAATATTCATAAAAAATTCATAAAAAATGGTAGCAAAAAAATTTAAAATTCTTCAATTCATAAAAAATGGTAGTAAAAAAATGTAAAATTAAATAAACAAATTTACTATAATTAATAATTAATATTAATGACAAGTAAATTCAGCATTCACCTGGAAGAACACACACATACACACACATACACACACACACACACACACACACACACACACACACACACACAAACACATATACACATACATAAAATGCATTTATGAAATGTTTCACGTATAACAAAAATATTTCACTAATTTCAATATTTCGAAACTCCTTTCGTTGATTTGGTTGTGGTTATTTCGGTACGATAACGCTCGGTACCACCTCCAATAGTTGGCTCAAAATTATGTGATCGTTTCACCGATGTCTTCTTATCATACACCGCATCTTCAGCTGTTGCATCACTGACAACTGATTCCAAATCACGATCCTAAAAAATGATGAAATTAAATGATATGCTTTTATTTCCATGTTTGTCATTAATTTTGGTAGAATAATTTTGTTTAAATTATAAAACTATTTTTATCTGCATGCGATGAATATTTTATCATTTATTTTTGTTTTGTACGGTTTCTTTCAAATATTATTTTTAATTTGACAGTAAAATAATTTCATCACTAACCGTACTAAATTCACAGCTTCTACCAGCTGCTGCATTCCAATCACGTCGTGTATTACCAATGCTAAATTCTGCTATACTTTCACCTCTTTCCTGTTCATCCTTGTCTAACAATGAACTAGAATTATGTGTTCCAACCTGAAATTTAAAAAACAAAAAAAAAGATGAGAGCAAAAATGGATAGTATTTGTAAATTTTATCTAATAATTAAAATTTACTTGATAATAGTTATTGCTATATGACATTTGAAATTGACATAAAGCACTTAACCTGAGATGATGAATGTGATTCGGTTGTAACTTCAATTGGTGGATATACGTGAAACTCAGCGGTTGTATCGTGAACATCAGCAGTGGTCATTGTTTTCTTAGTTTCTTTTCTTGTAACGTCGGTGATTACATGCCTTTTAATTTCTTCACGTATGGTATATTCGCTCGATGATTGTGATGTAGAATCATATGCATCATTATCACGATCAAGATGTGCACGTGGAATACGCATACCATCATCGAGATAATCGTGAAGCCTCGATACAATTAATGATCGATGTTGCTGATCATCCATGATACCATTCCCAGATTTTAGTTTTGCACGTGGAATACCTGAAATATGATTTTTTTTTTAGAAGAAATGAAATATTAAAGTTTTTTTGCATAAATATACAGTAATACACGTTACTTTTTTAAAAAAAAACTATTAATTTCTTGTATGAATTCTATATTTGCTCAGCTTGAAAAACATATATGTGATAGTTTGATGTATATTAACAGGCAATAAATTTTCTTTAAAAAATTCAGAGAATTAACCAATTTCCGGATAATATTCATGGCCTGCGGCACTCATTGCTGAAAAATCAGCACCACTTTCGCTTGATGTTGAAGCTTCCAGGGTAGACCAAGGCCAAGCACCTTTGCGATACGTAAATGGTTCACGGTACAATAAATTATGACGTTTAAAACAGATACATTTCGTGCAGAAATATAATAAACAGCTGAAAAAAAAGAGTAATAAAGCATATGATTCAAAGAATTCTAACCTCAGATTTCATTTCTTATTTTAGTTTTAATTTCGAAATTAAAAAATACCAAAGTGTGAGTAGAAGGAAAAGAACTGCAAGGACGACAAGCAGTATCATTGAAGCCTTTGATGGTGCCACATCGCAAAATTCACCAGACCAACCATTACTGCACACACAAGTAATGTTATTGGTCAAAGCATTGTGGACACAATCACCATGCGAATTGCATAGATCGCAAAGCAATGCACCGCAAACTCGTCCTGGTTCTTCCGGATTTCCATCCACATAACCTTCCGGACAATGACATTCATAACCTATCGCTTTATCAATACACTCCGCAACACCTATAAAATAAAATTTAAGTTAAAAATTACTAAATGCTACGTGGAATCACATATAATATAGATTAACGTTTTGTGAATTTCTAAAATAATATAACTCAAAAATATTTCAAAACTTTTAAAGATTATAAAAATTATATTTGATTCTATTTGCGTTTCATTCGAAAATCAGTTGAAATTATTCAATAGTGAAAAAGAAATGGATGTAATGTTTGTTTAAAAAAAATATAACACAATTAACACAACAATAACGTGCTACGTTTTAATAAATTTTTAAATAAATGATATTTATTAGCAAGTTTTAAGAATCAACCTCTAAAAGGTAATATTAAAATTATAATTAACCTGAACAATTGGTAATGCCTAATGCGCATTCATCGATATCACGCATTTTCAAACATAAAGTATCCTGGTCAAACAACTGTGTCCTTTTCTCACTTTTCCGAATATCAACATAGCCCGGATCACATTGGCATATTGCTTGCTGTTCCTGATTTACACATGTCGTATTTGCTGGACAGAAGTTAACATCTGAGCAGTAATCCAAAACACAAACACTTCCGGCAATGGCATCTTTCGGTGATGCATCGGTAAATGATGGTAAACATTCACATTTGTAAAGATGTTCCTTGAAATTATTACCTTTCATTACTTATTTCCATCACGATAATATTAATTAAGAAATTAAATATTCCACCTATTATGATAGGTGGAATATACATAATATTCCACCCTTTAATAAATAAAACCAAACTTCTCTTAATCTGATTTCATTTAATTACTAACTGAATTCTATTTTAGTTTCACTCAAAAATTAATTGAAATTATTCAATAGTGAAAATTAGATGGATGAATTGTATATATGTAAACCTGATCAATACAACGAGCATTTTCAGAGCATTCATTATCTTCTTTTCTTTCACACTCATTATAGCCAGTATTGGGTAAGCATCGTCTTCCAGGATCTGATGGATTCAGATCTCGATATCCTTGTCCACATTCACATCGATATGCATTTGGTCCCAGATTAATGCAAATTCCCTTCGGATGGCAATTATTCTATAAAATAATAGTAATAATAATAAGTGACTCTTATTTTATAGTAATTACACGATTAATACCGTAAAATCAATCAATAACTAATTTCTAAATATTATTAATATTTAGCACATTAAATAAATCAATAAATGCCAATATAGATTCACCCATTTTTTTTTAAATCAGAATATGCTAAATTTCACCTTCCAGCACGCTTTGAATGGATCCGGTTGATAACCATTAATGTACAAGCCACTTTGACCAATCTGATAATTGTTTTGATCGACAATATATCGAATAAGCATATGATAAACATCTGATGGCAACCGTACTGATCCTTTCCGGAAATAAACAGTTGAATTGAATAGAAAACCTCGATCCCATGTTGCATTAATACTCACTGGATCTATTATTTCATTAACCTAAAAAGTTACAAATTTTGTGACATTAAAATTTTTGTATTATTTCAGAAACGTTTCAGAAAAAAATTAAATTAGAAATCTTGATGTATAATTTCTGAAAATTTCAAAAATATCACACCTCAGCTGTAACAAAAGAGCCAGCTAATGCGGTATTCGGATAGCACTGTCCGATACCATTTTCAAATCTTCTGACAAATTCCTTTGTTACCGCATGCCGTGGATTTGCTAATATATCTGTATACACCAATTTTTCATCATTCTTCCGTATTACCCATAAAACAATATTCCATGCTTCCACCGGTCTACAAATATCAGTTGGCGATGAGCGCTTCTCACCGTGCCTACAACCGCACAGAGATCCCGCGATACACACCTGTAAAATATTCAGGGTAAATATGGGGGGAGATAAAATAAATATAAATGTGTACAAATATGACAACAATCAAGAATTTAACGATAGCGATATTTAAGCGATTAAAAACTGATTGATAACATTTATTAATTGCCTTTTTCATCTACAAGATTTTAAAATAAAAACAAAATCAAAATATCAATTGAAAGTTTTTGTAAAATTACTGAAAAATAAATTCAACCTCTCCCAGCTCACTATTACAAATAGTAGCACCACATGCTTCACCACGTGGTAGCTTTGGTCGGCATGGATTTAACTGATCATAATCCGGTGCTACTCGAAGTGATCCACCACCAATAGCACCATTAGTTCGTTGAATTGATTTCGCTAACTGTTCCCACAAGTTGCAAACATCAGTTGGTGTTCCGGTTGGAAGAAGTGCCACCGAAAAGTTAAACAGTAAACCATCTGGCCAAGAGCTAGAACAAAAAAATTCATGAAAATAATATTAATTAATTAATTATTACTCTCATGTAACTCTATCAATTTGCAAAAAGAATTTTCTACTCAAAAAATACATCAAAGAAAAAAGCAATAATCTTTATCTTTAAATACATGTATCGAATAACATATGTGATACAAATTATTTTATCATTTCATATAAATAAAAACTGATGGAAGAAAAGCAAATTGATACCTATTAACAGTTTTTGGATGAGTAATATAATTGACATCAGTAGTAACGTAACGTGTTCCATATGTGGTACTGCTCATCGCACGTCCAATGTCTTTTGTAAATAAATGCGTTATCTCAACATACGGTGCATTATCACTACTACCATATTCCGAACTATATGATAATGTTGCGGCATCCTTATTAAGTATACGAATTGAGAACGGTATACGCTCGACCGGTTCACAACGATCTTTCGTTGTTGCACGTGCCTCACTTGGTCGACACATACATTTAACACCGCCAACACATACTTCATTACGTTTTATTGCGCAATAATTATTACGACCACATAATATCCCATCAATACGTGGAGCATCTTGTGGTAAAACTGTCGTGATTTTCTCTTTTTGAAATTCTACAAAAAATTAAATTTAATTGTTTCATTTGAAATTCACTATGATAAAATAACAAAAAAAAATTGATAGTCTACAAAAAGATTCAATAAATTTAATACAAAAACCTTTCATACTTCATAAATAAATTTCATTATTTTACACCTATCTATTCTTTTCCATTCCCTTTTTGGTTTTCAATATTTCAACATACTTACTGTAATAAAATAATAATTATCATTTGAAAAATTAAAAGTTTAAATTTCAAAATTTAAGGTACCAATGCAAACTCTGCCCGGTTCCTGTGTATTCGGTGAATTATCATAATATCCCGCTTTACAGTGACATGTATATCCATCATCTAAATCTTCGCAAATTGCAAATTTCTTATCACATGTGTTATCGGTCGAAATCGAACATTCATTAAAGCGACATATTCTACCGGGTTGTCCCGGTGGTGACTCATCATGATACGGTTCTTTACAGCGACATTCATAACCACCTTGCAGGTCGATGCATTCCGCATGACGATCACAATCATTCAGGTTTGCCGATTCACATTCATTGATGACTACAAATTTATCAATGGCTAACACAGTTATCACTTAATCTATCATCGGTTAATTTGTACACTATGCAATCAGATATCTCGGATTAAAATTACAGGAACTTGTTGTTTAAGTTCTTGAGTACCATTAAATTATACTATAAATAAAGTCAACGCAGCTTATCATAGAAATAAGAAATAAAATATTGTTGTCATCAATATCATTGCTATTTTTTATAGATCTAAATTTTTGAAACTTCATCATTAAGATTTTTATTAAAGGATTAGAAATCAACAACATTATTCATGCTTCTTTCTAATTTTTCCACTTCATTTGTAAATATTATTATTCTGAACCATTCATTAATTAATAAAATTTTATTAGTTATAATTGTTAATCGTATTACGCTGCAAATATACATAATAATTATTTTAATTTTAAATATTCAATATCAAACTACATTTTATATTTTCTTGTCTCATTTTAAATTTTATTTAAACAAAATTCAAGAATCCTGATATTTCGAATTTCAAACTACTCATTTTGATTTCATAAGTAATCAACGGAAATTGTATTTTTTTAGTTTAAAAAACTTTAAAGTTCTCTGAAACATCCAAATTTTTGAGGCAAAATTTGTCACAGAGAACTTACTGTAAATGCATGTGGTACCAGGATGTTCCGGATTACCATCGTGATATCCATCACGACAGCGACATTCATAACCTTCCTGCTTATCGATACAATCTGCGAAACGTGAACAGTTATTTAGTGATGGATTTCGGCATTCGTTTATTTGCTGGAAACATTTACGGCCAGGCCGATTGGAATTTGGTGACCGATCAACGGAATTTAGTGGACAACGACATGTGTAACCATCTGGTAAGTCTTGACAAATAGCTAACGGATCACAATCATTCAATGAACGATCTAAACATTCGTTCACCTGAAATTCGAAATGTAAATTTGATACTGGAACTGAATGGAAATATTAAAGTAATAGGGTTTTATGCACAGTGTTAATTTGAAAATATTGAAGTAAGTGATTTTATGTTCTTATTTTACAAATTATTATTTTTATCTCACAATAGTTTTCTGAAAAACTTATTTAAAAATTGGATAACTTATTGAGCATCCATTAAAAAAAAATATTGAGCCAAATGATAAATGAATTTAAATAATTGCAATTGCAATTATAAATTTGATAGCATTTAATATGATTTAATGATTTATGCTTATAAATTATTAGAAGAATGATGAACAAACTTGTTCAACACAAATCCGTCCCGGTCGATTGGTCTTATCCGGTGACTGATCGATGTAGCCATCTCGACAACGACATGTAAACTTTTCATCACTTTGTGTTTCACTGCAAATAGCAGCCGGATGGCAATCGTTCTGACTTGAATCCAAACAAATCGGTTCTGTAAGAATGCAAATACGGCCTGGCTTATTTCGAGTATCCGGTGAGCGATCCACATAACCTTGTAAGCATTCACAGGTATATGTTTGTTTTCCGGTTGCACGACATGTTCCAGCTGGATGACAATCATTTAGAAGTGGATCTTGGCATGGATGTCCTGAAATTTAATAATTTCAATTTATGAAAAAAAAGGATACAAAATGTTTGGGTTAATATTTCAATTAAATTAATCTTATTATTAAATAATTTCACAGTTGCATAATTAAAAAATAGTGAAAAAACTCATTTTTTTATAAATAACATCAACCAGGGACAAAATGACTGTTTCACGAATAATTATGTTTGTTTCATTAACAATCATGTAATACTGTGTAATTATGCATATATTTCATTATCATTTCAAATTTGAAAGATTTATTTAAATGCTGCTAACTTGGTGGTGGCGTAACAGGTGCGGGTGGTTCACAAACATATCCGCTTTGTGTTCCGTCAGGTGAACGATCGAAATAACCGTGCGCGCATTCGCAACGATATCCTTTTGGTTCATCGTAACAAATGGCATTACGTGAGCAATTATTCAAACGTGGATCGCGGCATGCACTATCTAAATATTCATCAAATACTAGTCTTTTAATCAAAAAAAATTTCCAAGTTAGTGATTTAAAGATTAATTTAAAAAAAAGAGTTGGAAGATAATTTTAAAAATACTTAAAAAGCAAAGTAAGAATTTGTTATATAAGTAATAAAGTGTAAGGAGCAAAGATATATCCTACTTCGAACACAAATTCGCCCTTTTTTTCCAGGTGGTGATTGATCCAGGTAACCTTGTATACAAGTACATTCATATTTATTACCACCAAGAGGTTCACATACAGCTGCTGAACTGCATTCATGATTTGATGGACAAACTTCTGAAAATTTTTCGCTTCAGTTATTAATTAAAAATTTTAATCCATTTTTTTTAAGGGACAATTTAAAATTTATTATGAATTTTCATTTTTAATAAATATTTCGGATCGAATGTCTTACCTGGTGTACCGCATACTCGTCCTGGTTGTGTAAGTAAATTGGGTGATCGATCAATAAATCCATCTTTACATTCACAAGTATAACCTTCTTCCAAATCACGGCATTCCGCTTGAGCGCTACACGTATGCCTTTTGCTTGCGCATTCATCGATGAGCTATAAAATATTTGAATTCATTTACTAATTAACTAAATTACTTGAAATAACAATAATATATTATTTTATAGCAGATTAAATGGAATAAATTTATTATACTATAAGAATTCAAATGAAACTTATCAAATTAATCCTAAAATTTTTCGATAATTTTAATCTCATCTTTAAAAAGTTTATATTTTAATCAAAGAGTTTCTTCTAAGATGTTTTCAGTTTTTTTTTCTCAAAAAATTTGTTATCATTCTTTTGATATTACTGATTATGATAATCTTTGAAATATGGAAGAAATATTTTCATCATCTTAATTATTTGAAATCCAAAAGTCATTTCTGAATTTAAATTTTAATTTTTGTATCACTGAACAAATGTATATATAGAAGTATCAATATCAATATCACCAACTTCTACACACACACGACCCGGTCGATTGAGACGATTTGGTGATCGATCAGTGAATCCCTGCGCGCATTCGCATGTAAATGATTGTTCGTTGTCACGGCAAATTGCATTTGGATCACAATCGTGCTTACCGGTTAAGCATTCATTTTCAACTTGAATGAAAAAACATTTAATTTTAACTTTAATAAGTAATTATACGTGTAAATTTAACTCAAAATATGCCTTTTTTAAGTAAAGGAATTAATTGAAGTTTGTTACTGATTTTTTTTACATTCAAATTTTTAATTCTAAACTTCAATTTCCAATTTTCATATTTTCATTTGAAAGATGTTATTTTTATTTTTAAAATGTAACTATAACTCTTAAAATTGCAACTTACAAACAAGACATACACGACCCGGAAATGCTGGATTTGGAGAGATATCCTTCGAATCTGATGGACATTCACATTGATAAGAATCGGTGGTATCAGTGCATTTTGCTGTCTTATCACAATCATTTAATTTAGGATCAGAGCATCTGTAGGAAAAAATTAATGTTTAGCATAATTAGCAGTAAAACATCGTCATATTAACATGTATTAAAATTTTAAACCATAGAAGAATTTAGTTTGAACTATGTAAATTTTCAAACTTTGAAATCAAATTTTAAATTTTAATAAATTTGTAGTTGTATTTCTGTTTCTGATAGTTATATAATTTTAAACTTAATTTTTGCAAGACATACTCATTGATGAGTGCACGACATGCACGGCCACGAAATGTTGGTGACGGTGATACATCCAGAAAGCCATCTTTGCACTCGCAACGATAACCATCTTCCTCATCGATACAATTTGCATTCTTATCGCAACTAGAAACAATCAAATAAATTTTCCTATTTAAACGTTAAAAAAAGAAATTAAAAATTTGGAAAAGTTTCATTTCATACATAATATTTTGCAAAAATTAGCATACCTATTAAGTTCTGTTTTTGCGCATTCATTAATCATCTTCTTACATAATCTTCCTGGACGTTCCGGTTTCCGGTCCATATAACCCTGATTGCATTTGCATTCATAACCATCTTCCTTATCGATACATATCGCATTTTGATGGCAATCATTCAGATGTGGCAATTTACATTCATTAATATCTGCAATGATAGTTATGCTAATATTTTTAATTTATTATTTAAGTTCCGCTTTTATTTATCCATAGAATATTTTGCAAAAATTCTATTACTCTTTAAATTCTCAGTAAATATCTTATTTGTTTGTTTCTGAAAAATGTTTGATAAATTAATTAATTCCATCCACATAAATTTATCGAGATATGAAAGAATTTTATAAAATAGAAAAGTTAATCTATGTTTAAAATTTTAAATAAATTAAGAAAGCAATTTTATATATACAATTATATATATTTGATTGAATTCAAAGCAATAACGAATTAATTCCAATTTTTGATTCGATTTTAAAAAAATTGTAAGAGTTTCAAAAAGCTCAAAAATTAATTGACAAATACTTGTTACCAATTTTATCGATTATCAATTTAAGAGTAGATGAAGTAGATAAAAATACGTTAATAATATGTAAATAAAAATATACGTGGCTGGCAGATACGTCCTGGCTTATTATTAGCGGATACGTCTTTGAAGCCTTGTTTGCAACGACATGTAAATGAGGTTGGCTCATCGATACAGTCTGCACTTGGATGACAGTCATTTAATTGAGGAAAGTCACATTCGTTGATGACCGTACACGATTTCGTTCCTTTATCTCGGCTATAGTTTATTGGACATGCACACTTCGGTTGACCATTGATTAAACGACAAACCTTTACAAATTTTGGAATACATTAACCACATCATTATTATTATCATTAATTATAGCTATCGGTAGTTAATGATTGGCGTTACAATGGCTACTAATCAGTAATGGTTAAATTGTGTGCTTTGACATTAATGATTTAACAAAACATATTTATTAAGTGGCTGCGATGAAATAATAAAATAAAAAAATACGAAAATTTGGTTCTTAAATTGATAAAGAGAAATAGGTTTCTTATTATAAATTTTAACAATAAAATTGATTTTGAAATTGAGAATTCAATCGGACTCACTTCATTCAGTTCTTGTTTACATGATGATGCACTTGCATCGATACGACATTCTGGGGGTGGTGGAGTTGGTCTTGGAATGCACAAACGCCCAGGTAGTGCCACCCGATTAGGACTCTGGTCGATAAATTCAGACTTGCAGTGACAGGTATAACTTTGGGGTAAATCTTGGCATACTGCATGTTCATGACAGTCATGTTTCCCAAGTCGACACTCGTCAATCAATTCCGGTCGACATAATCGCCCCGGACGGTTAGCAATATCCGGTGATTCATCCACAAAATCATCTCGACATTTGCATATAAATGATTCCGCTGTATCTATGCAATCTGCATTCGGAGAACAATCATGACGATTTTCTTTACATTCATTTATTCCTGAAAAGATTCATGCTATTAAATTTCAATTTTTCTACCAATCATTAACTTTAAACCAGTAAAACACAAATGAAAGAGTGCGTTTTTCAATAATTTCCTTTTTTTTTGTCTTGCAACTTACTCAATAAGCAACGTCTTCCGGGCTTTCGGGCAATATCCGGTGATACATCGATGTAACCGGGTGGACAAGCACATTCATAGGAATCCTCCGTATCCGTACATATTGCTTCAACCGAGCAATCATTCTGTCCGGTTTGGCATTCATCAATAACTGAAATATTTCTCAAACAATGTTAACACTAAATGAATATAATAATTTCATAATTTTTTTAAATGAAGAGGACAAAAGAACTGACGTCGTTTGCATTTTCGACCTGGACGATTTTGACGGTCGAACGATACATCTAAATAGTTAATTGCGCAACGACACGTATAGGAATCCGGCGTGTCCTCACAGATCCCACCATCTCGAGCGCAATCATCAACTTTCTTGGCGCATTCATTTTCTACTATAACTTCTTATATTATAAAAATTGATTGATAACTTGAAAAAAAGTTTAAAAAAAATAAAAAAGTTTGGACTGAAATGAATGAGCGAATAGATAATTTCTAGAGTGCAAAAAAAAACAACGAAAAACTGAATTTACATGGTTTGCAAAGACGCCCAGGTTTTGAAGTAATATTTGGTGAGATATCCAGGAAACCCTGCCGACAACGACATAAATAGCCTTCATCAGTATCAGTGCAGATAGCACGATCCGGTGAATCACAGTCATTCAATGTCGGATTATCACATTCCGGAATTACTAAAAAAAATTACATTTCAAATTGTATAATCGGAAGAATCAATATTGCTATACTTTGTTTGTATATTGTTTTTGCTATAATATTGTTATACTTTGACATTAAACAGTTAAATCTACAGTAAATGACTTGAAAAAAAATTTCGCTATGCTGGTCAAATTAATAAATGCCATATATTCTCAAAAATTCTCGAAATTCCTTTTTTTAGAAAAGAAAGGAAATGATTGTTGAAAAACATACATGGAATGCACACTCGTCCTGGCCGACTTGGATCTGGACTTTTATCACGATAACCTGAGGTACAAGCACAAACATAATCGTTACCATCACGCTCAATGCATCGTGCATTTCGATCACAATCATTATTACCTTGTCTACATCGGTCATTATGCCTTTCTACAATATTACATTATTTGAAATATTAAAATTAAATTAAAATCAAAAGCATTACATAAGAGAAATATTTATTTATCCATCAATTCCGCATGTTTCATTTATAAAGCAAAATGATTGTTGAATTTGATGCTAACGATACGTATTTAAATTCTTCTAAATATTTTTAACATGTTAGCAACAACCTTTCTGACAATTTCGTCCTGGATTTCGAAGTTCATCCAAATCTGTATAGCCTGTTTTGCAAATACATTTATAGGAATCAGCCGTATCAATGCAGATCGCATTCTTATCACAAGTATTGAGGGAAGGATTCTGACATTCATTTACAACTTCTTTACAAACAACGCCACCGAAGCTTTAAAAAATATTTATTAGTATAAGTAATAATAATAAAGAAAAAAAATTATTAGTGTAAGATATTGAAATCAATCAATATTGCTATATTTCAATATTGAAAAGCTAAATCTCCTCATAAATCAGTAAATAACTGGAAAGGAAATTTTGTTATGTTGGTGAAATTAATAAATGTACCTTTGGGGATTTGGCGAGAAATCGATAAATCCTGGTTTGCAACGGCAGATATATCCTTGTACTGTATCTGTGCAAATAGCATTTGGTGAGCACTTATGCGTACCATCTTTGCATTCATCCCTTTCAGCTACACAAATACGTCCCGGTTTATTGACCAGATCTAAACTCTGATCCAAAAAACCGTTCCGGCAAGCACATAAGTATCCATCATCCGTATCAATGCAACGAGCATTTTTGTCGCAATCATTAGCACCCGAAGCGCATTCATCTTGTACTACAATCATATTTGTAATATTTATTGATGTAAGTACAATAAACTAATAGATATTTTGATCTTTTTGACCCATTGATCATATCTGAAGATTGACTTTACAGAAAAAACGTTTTATTAAAGACGATTCCGAAAATGCTCTATTTGAATTTCAATGTCGCCAGGAATGACAATGCTAATCTGAAATTTTTCGGAATTTCAACTAGTATCAAATTTTATGGTTTTTCAAAATATCAAAATCTAACTTATAATAACTAAATATAATATGCGTATATATGTTCAGTATGTATTCACTTATAATTTAGTTTTTTGATGTTGAGCAAATGAATCACTGATTGTTAGCTTACAGCAAATTCCGGTAACGTGATGACGCTTTTCGCCTTCAGCACACTGACATAAATAGTAGCGTCCGCTGGAATGCGGCATGCATTTTTCTCGTTTACGAATGTCGCAAGGATTCGGCGATGTTGGATCACAAGACCCTGGTACAGAACATTCCCCGGTATGCAAATTACGCTCATATCCAAGAATACATTCACACTATAACAAATGAAAACTAATTCATTACATTAGTTTATATGATTAATTTCCTTATCCAATGTTCATTATCTCAAGATGATGATAGATATGCTGCTAATATCCCAATATGTTATTATTAAGAATGCATCCAATAATTTATTTTTGATTATTAAGTTTTACTCATCATTTTCTGTAAATATTCCGAAGAAAAAAATGAAATCTATAATGAGAAAGTTGCTATAACATGAATTTGCTTACGTGAAAATCACGAGCGGTACTACGTACGCATTCTTCATTTGCGCCACATCGTACAC